ACGGCCCAATGGGGGGCCGTACTACAATCATCCTGCCGACGACAGTTCGTCACAGACGGCAAAAACCCCGCAGACACGACGAAATAATCCAGACAGCTCCAGGTGGAGGAGGACCCCGAGCTCCGACAAGTGTAGGCCCCTGTGGTGACGATAGAGCCTCCTACCGCCGACGGCCATCCTGAGGCCCCTAACCCTTCAGGCGCCACGTTCCAGTCACCCCCGAGAATGAACGGCTGCCCCATGGCCCTCAAGGCCTCGCCCAGCTGCTTCAGGATCAGAAAACTCTGGTCGTCGAGGCCCCCGCCAGAGACCAAAAAAACCGACCCTGCAATAAAGCCTCCAGGAACCAAGCCGTTGACCCACATGAGGAGAACCCGCTCAGAGGGCCAAGGGCGCTTCGGGACAGGAGCCTCGCAGAGGCCAATGTGAGGCCACGTGCCCACCAACACGCCCCCTGAGAGGCCTCCTCCCGTGTCCCGAGAGGGCGCAACCTTGGCCTTCCAACCTAGGCGACCTACTGCTGCTTCACGATCAGGCTGCAGCTCAGGAGCGATGGCCACCTCCTGCAGCATGACCACGTCGGCGTCGCACTCATTCTCGAGGAACCACTGCGCGCTGCTCCAGCTGGTGGTATTGCAGGTGCAGAACTTCCAACACTTGGGTGAAGCTGAAGACGCCGTAGGACCATCTCCAGCTTCGCGTTCTCGCCGTACTTCTTGCCGATCCGACAAAGGGTTTGGACGGGATGTGGCGCCCGCTGGGTCAACGGACGCCGCCTCGCAGGCACTGACGGGGCAATCAAAGGGTGCCCCCAACTTCTGGCCCACCTCGTCGCTGGACGTGCCGCTGTCCAGCTCCAGATGGTGGCTACCCCCGCGGCCTGGCCCCGCGGGCGTCGCGGCGCCCCGCAGCGTGGGCGCGGGCAGCGCCCCCAGCGGGCGCCGACTGCACCTCTGGGTCTCGCCCCTGGGAACGGCTGCGTCCCCTTGCGTCGGGCAGCCTCCCTTGGTCAGTAGCCCGAGCGAGAGCCCTAGCGGCTTCGTCCTGCACGCGCTGGTCCACCGCCACGAGGAGCTGCCCCCCAGCGGCAAGGTCACGTGGGGGGGGAGCCATGGGCTCGTCCGAGTCGGAGTCGTCGGCGCCTGCCGCGTCCCAGGCTTGTCCTCCAGGATGTCCTGATGCCGCCGCGAACTCCTGGGTCTGCCGACACAGCGCCGCGGCCACCTCCTGCCCGCCGCCTGGGGAATGAGGCTGTCGTACAGCTGCTGGCGAGGCCCCACGCGCAGGCTCCGCATCAGCACGCTCAGCAGGTCCCGCGCCCATCCCAGGCGCCGCGCCCGCTCCGGCCGCAGCCCCCACGACTGCCCCGAGGAGCCGCTCGCAAGCCTCGACCAGGGCCGCGACCGCTGGGGGAGCGTCCCCCCCCACCGCGGCGCGCGCCTGGCCGAAGGCGGACTGGGCTGCACGCACCTCTGGGCCGAGCTGCGCCGCCCCTGGCGCCAAAGCCACGGAGGCGCGCGCCCTGGCGGCGGCGTACTCCTCCTCCAGGCCTCGCACCGCCTCCCGCTGGTCGGCAACCTGCACCATGATGTCGGTGGCCGCCTGCTCCAGCTTCTGGAGGCGACCGCGGGCTCCCAGCAGCTGGTTGGAGAGCGAGCTGACATCCTGCGAGGCTTGCCAGGCGTCCCAGGCAGGCTGCGCCAGCCCAGATTCCGCCATGGCGCGGCGGTGCAGCAACTTGTCACGCTGTGACTGGGTGAGCACACCACTGAGGGAACGGAACTCCTCATCACTGAGCCCGAGCCACACGCGCTGCTCGTCCTCGGTGAGCGCCCGCGGCTTTGGCCCAGCTCCTGCGCCCCCACGAAGTTGGCCACGAGCTGGGTCAGCCCATGCACCACCAGGAGCACGAGGAAAGGCATGTTGGGGCGCCTTGGGCTTGGGCGCCCCGCAGAGGTAGCACTCGGTGCGCCACTCGAAGTTGTCCTTGCACGAACAGCGCTTGGCCGCACATGCCCATGCATTCCGCAGCCACCCATTGCCTCCCTTGGCCATCGGCTGCCGAGGGACAGACACAACTATGAAAGCTCAGAAGAGCAGGCCTGGTGGCAGGGCAGCACACCAGGAAATCACACGCCTAAAACACCCGAGCCTGCCGCACGGCTGCGGACAAGCTCGAAGCCTCGCGGCAAGGTTTCGAACTTGAGCCAAAATGGCTACGGAGTTCCTCCTCCTCCTCCTCCTCCTCCTCCTCCTCCTCCTCCTCCTCCTCCTCCTCCTCCTCTCCTCTCAACGCACCCAGTACACGGGTGCCTACTGGAACGCGTGCCGAGAGCCTTTTTGGAAGCATCGTGGCAGTCTCTGGAGCCGGGCCTTCCTTTGGAGTCCTTTGGGGCCTTGGCTGGCCCGTCTGACGGCCTATTTCGGCCGTTCTGTGCCCCTCTTGGCTCGTCGTGGGGAGCTCAGCCCGTCTTGGGGCCCTCCTGGGGCCCTCTCCGACCATGTAGGAATCCTCTGGTGGCCCCCTCGGGTTTCCTGGGGGCTCTCTTGGGCCGTCTTGTAGCTCTTCTGTGCCGCTCGAAACTCTCTTCAGCCCATCTTGGAACCCTCTTTGGGGCCTCTGGAGCTGTTTGGGGCCCATTTTAATCACCTTTTGGGCTGTCGCTACCGCTGGTAGAAGTGAAAAAGCGAAGCTTCCAGGCATACGCGTTTTTTTGTCATAGGAAATGTTAGATTTCTGCATATGGAGGGTCTTCTCGGTGGCCTCTTGGACAGTCGTGGGGGGATCCTTTTAAGCCTTTTGTGGCCCGTCTGGGAGCCCATTTCGGCTGTCCCAAGCCCTCTTGGGATTTCATGGGTAGCTGAGCCGCCTTGGGGATCTCATGGTGCCCTCTCTGACCATGTAGGGATCCTCCGTTGGCTCCCTCGGGCCCCCATGGGGACTCTATCGGGCTGTTTTGGAGCTCTCTTGTGTTTCTCGACGCTCGTTTGAGGCTGTCTTGGGGCCTTTGGGGGGCCTCGTGGACCGTGTGGCGCCGATTTGGGGAGCCTTTGGGGCCGACATGGCCGCCGATGGAACATAAGAAGCGAATATCATAGAAGTGTACGTTTTTTCATGGGGAACGCTTGTTTTTCGCACCCGGGAGCCTTCTCAGCAGCCTCCTGGACCGTTTTCAAGGAGTCCTGGCAAGTTTTTTTTTTGAAAACCCTCTGGGAGCCCAGTTCGGCCGTTCCGGGTCCCTCTTCGCCCGTCATGGGGACCTGGGTCCGTTTTGGGGCCCTCAAGGGGCCTTCTCAGACCATGTAGGGATCCTGCAATGGCCCCCTCTGGGTTCTTGGGTACTCTCTTGGGCCGTGTTGGAGCTCTCTTGTGCTGCTTGAAGCTTTCTTCAGGCCGTCTGGGGGCCCTCTCGGGGGCCTCTTGGGCTGGCTGGGGCTCATTTTGAGAGCCTCTGGGGCCGTCGCGGCCGCTGGTAGAATTGAAAAGCAAATGCCCAAGATATACACGTTTTGCCTTCGGATATGCTTGATTTTTGCCCTTGGAGGGCCTTCTCGGCGGTCTCTTGGACCGTTTTGAATGCGTGCGCGGCCGTCGAGGAGCAGTCTCGGGCTGTCTTCGAGCGCTCGTGGCCCGTCCGGAAGCCATCTCAGTGCGCTCTCCGGCCACCTTCCAGACAACCTGGGGCGTTTTGGGCGCCTTTTGGGCTGGCTTGGGAGCCCCTGGAACTCTTTTGGAACCCTCGAGGCCCCCCCGGCCCCCCATGCGAACCAGTGGTCGCAGTTGCGTGCCCTCCCCCAGCCTGTTGCGATACACGCGCACACATAGGTGGGGAAATATGGATAAGTCTATGCATTGATAGCTTGATATACACATTATATATATATATATATATATATATATATATATATACACATACATACATACATATATATATATATACACACATACGAACCCACCCGCGCGCTACGCGCGCGCGTAGGTTCTAGTCATAGCTTCTCCAGGGCTCTCCGCGACCACAGCCAATCTTTACGGCTGCAAGTCCGACGAGCCCCGGCGCGACTCCTTCTCCGTGCTGCTCTGCGTTCCTTCCGAATTTCCCCGAAGGAGATCGCGCTGGAGGTCTTTCGCAGTCGTCGTCGTCGTTGTCGTCGCAGTCGTCGTCGTCGTCGTCGTCGTCGTCGTCGTCGTCGTCGTCGTCGTCGTCGTCGTCGCAGTCGTCGTCGCAGTCGCCGTCGCAATCTCACTCGTCGTCTTCGCCGCCAGTCTCAGTCGTCGTCGTCGTCGCCGCCGCGGTGCGACGCCGGCTGGCTCAGGGAGGGCCCAGAGGGCAGGGGCGGGCGCGGGAGCGGGCGCGGGCGCCGCGCGGAACTGGGCCCAGGACCCGGGAGGCGGAAGAGGAGGAAGAGGAGGAGGAGGAGGAGGAGGAGGAGGAGAAAGAAGAGGAGGAGGAGGAGGAGGAGGAGGAGGAGGAGGAGGAGGAGGAGGAGGAGGGAGAGGAGGGAGGAGGAGGAGGAAGAGGAGGAGGAAAAGGGAGAGGAGGAGGAGGAGGACAAGGAGGGAGGAGGGGGAGGAAGGAGGAGGAGGAGGAGGAGGAGGAGGAGGAGGAGGAGGAGGAGGAGGTGACGAGGAGGAGCAGGAGGAGGAGCAGGAGGGAGGAGGTGGAGGGAGAGGAGGAGGATGAACGAGGAGGAGGGGGAGGAGGAGTGCACGTACTCAAAGAGGAAGAGACGAGGGCAAGCGGGCAGGACGCGAGACGAGGGCAAGAAGTCCGCTCGCGTCCGTCAGCTGGCGCTAGTCTGCTTCCAGAACATTGATTCGATAGAAACGCACTAAGCCTGTAGACGACGCAGTGCTGCTACCCGCGCAGAAGCAATAGCAGCGGCGTGGATGGGCGAGCCAACATCGGCACGTCACTTCAGAATATGAAACAGCTGCGTGGCCAGCGCCACCGCGCGAACACAGTCAATGCGCGGTCGCGCTCTATGCTCATTCAGGTGGCCTAAGCCGAAAACAAGGCGCCGCTGCTCAGCTCACTCTCCTCCGCCGGCGCCGCGACCGCGCCGCGGAGCACAGGGCGCGCAATGTAGTGCGACAGGTCGTCGCGCGCCTCGCTGCCCATGATGCGCAGGCGGGGCGCTATGACGTGCATCCTGCCAGACGTGATCCAGCCGTTGGAGATGGTGCGCAACCGCGACCGCATCCAGGCGGGGCGCGCTGCGCGCAGCGCCGCGCGGAGCTCCAGCCAGCGGCTCCGCAGCTCCTCGGCGGGCGCCTCAATCCCCCGTCGCCGCGGGCGGCGGCCGATCAGCTGGTCGAAGCGTTCCTCGTATAGGCCGTCGCGGATGGTGCGCATCGCGGCGGCCTGGCGTTTGATCTTCCCTGGGGGGGGGGGGGGGGGGCGCCTGGGCGGCCTCCTTCTCCTCGTCGCCCATGGCGATGCGGGCCGCCTCGATGATGGTCGTCGGCACAGGGGCGGGCACCTTGTCAAACGCAGGGCGCGGGCGCGGCAGGGTGCCGCACAGGTCCATCACGAGGCCGTAGTTCTGAACGATGGAGCTCTTGGTGGCCCACCAGGGCGGCGACCACGAGCCCTTCAGGGCGCTCGCCAGCGGGGGATTCTCGACCGCGGCGTCATGCAAGGCATGCAGCGTGGGCACCCAGTTGCGCGCCGTGTGGGGCGCAGCACGGAGGAGCGTGCCGATCGAGTACGGCAACGGGCCCGTCGGTTCCGGGGTTCCACGCCGCGCCCCCAAGGAGAGGATGTCCGCCTTGCGCATGGCCGACGGCGGGAAGCGAAGGAGGCGGTGGAGCATCGTGAACTCAACCCGCCAGATCTCGGGGATGAGAAGAAGAACTGGGCGAGGTAGGACAGGCGCGGCAGCGCGCTGACGTTGTAGGCGCGAGCGGCAAGGCTGGCCGCCATGCCCGCGCGGCTCAGTTCCGCAGCCCGAGACCACCACTTCGCCGCCGCGTCCTTCCAGATGCCCTGCTCCGCGATGCCAGGGCCGATGCGCGAGCCCAGGTACTTGGCCGAGGGGGCGACGCGGAAGCCCTTCCAGCTCGGGGCCATCTCGGCCAAGAGCGTCCTGGCATCATTGATGAGGTCGGGCGTGACCTCCTCCCAGAGCGGGACCAGCGCGCACTTGTGGATCGCTAGCTGGAGGTTGAAAGCAAACTCGATGTCAACGAAAGAGTCGGCGATGGAAGGGAGGATCTTGGCGTTGCGGATGAGCGTGCCCAGGTCGCCCGCGCGCGCTGCGAGGCAGCCTTTAGGGGGGTCGCCCAGCACCTTTATCAGAGCGCGGATCGGGGCGTCCATGCCCAAGCGCCAGACCGTGCCCGAAAGGAGGCACCTCTGCATGATGCCGCACCTCAAGGCAAAGAGCGGCTCCATCGCCGCGCTGCCCCCAGGAACTCGGAAGGAGCTGAAGGCGATGCGGTTGCAGCGCAGCGCCGAGATCGCATTGCAGTAGCCCAGCGGCGCCCCAGTACCTCGGCAGCACGATGTCGATCACGTCGCGGAAGAGGGACGGGAAGGCCTGTTTGAATTCGAATGAGAGCAGCATCGGACGACGCAGATCTGCGCCAGGGAGGAGCCCCACGCGGCGGCACTCCGCGTCCAGGAGCGGGATGTGGCCCGCGCAGCGTCGACCAGCAGTGAAACCCTTCTGCGCCCCTTCCGCCGCGACGGTGGCGATGGGCTGCAAGGCGCGATCCGCGCAGGCAGCAATGAGCTTGGCGCCCGCATTATTGAGGGAGAGCGCGCGCACAGTGGATGCCGCGCACGTGCACGAGTCGGGCGTGTCCTCGCCCTCCGCCCCCTTCGACGCGCAGGGGCAGAGCGACCAGTTGAGGTCATGCGGGCCTGCGCCCTCGTTGAACAGCTGCTCCATCAGAGCGCGTGGATGCAGGGGGGCCCCAGGGCTGCGCCGCCACGCTGCGCGCGGAAGCTGGCCGGCCCCAGGGGCGCTCGGCGGGGCCCGCTCTGCGGCGCGCGCCAGCGAGTGCAGCGACGGCTGCGGGAGCTCCACCGCGGGTAGCTGCGGGGCAAAGCGGTCGAGAAACTGGTTGAGCCGCAGCTTCTGCTCCACGGTCGGCGCGCGCTCGAAGATCTTGCCCCAGAACTCAGCCGCAACGCCCGTCACGCCCGCGGGGTCGCTGACCACCTTCGGGGGCGCGGCCGAGGCGGAGTCGGAGGCGCATGGAGGAGAGTCGAGCCGCAGGCCAGCGAGCACCATGCGGCGCCGCCAAGGGGTCCATAGCTGTGCGTGTCGGGCGGCCCCCCGCTCCACGCGGCGCCGGGCGGGGCTGTCTCGGTCGTTGGACCTCCGCGCAGCAGCCTCGGCCGCCTGCCTGCGCATGGCGCGAACCTTCGCCGCGACCGCGTCGAAGGCCTCGGCGAAGGCACTGGCATCCGCCACTCGAACGACGCCATGGTCAACCCGCAGATGGGCGGCGAGGTCGGGGCGCGAAGTAAGAAGACGGGCCGCCAGCGTCACATCCAGGCGCCAGCGAGCCCGCGCCGCAGTCTTGAAGCCCATGCGCGCGGTCTCGGCGCTGCCGTCGTTGACCACCAGGGAGAAGTTGGCGCGCAGCTGCTCGTCGCGGATCCGACCGGCAGCCAATTTCATGAAAGTCCGCCGACCCCTTGTGGGTCTCTAGGCGTGTGAGATAGTTCCCCCCCCCTAACCCCCCCCCTGGGACCCCAAACCGGAGATTTGACCCCCCCCCCCCCGGGCCGCAGACGAGCGCACCACGGGGCTCTTTTGGGCCCAAAAGGGGATCAAGACGGGCCAAGAAGGCCCCAAGACTCCTCCAAGACGGCTCACGAGAGCTCCGAGGCGCCAAACGAGCGCTCCCAGACGCCCAAGATGCCCCCAAGACGAGCCTAGAGGCCTCCAAGACGGCCCAAGACGCCTCCAAGAGCAGTCCTCAGAAGGGCCGAAGCGCCGAAAATCGTCAATTCCTATGGGAAAACGTACATTTTGATCACATACTACTTCTCGGCCTTCACGGCGTTGAAGACGGTCCCAGAGCACCCCAAGACCGCCCCGAGAGGCCCCCAAGAGGCGCCCAAGTCGGCCCAGGAGGGCGCCAAGACGGCCCAAGAGGCCCCCAAGACAGCCCAAGAGGGCCCCAAGACGGCCCCAAGAGGTGCCCAAGAGGGGGAGCCCGAACCGACAATCCGAGCCTTCCGCCCCAAGGCGGCCCCAGAAGGCCCCAAGAGGCCCCAAGAGGCCCCCAAGACGCCCACAAGAGGCCCCAAGAGGCCCCCAAGAGGCTCCAAAACGGCCCCCAAGAGGCTTCGAAACTGCCTCCAAGAGTCCCGCGAAAAGCCCCCCAAGAGATCCCAACGATCACCGCGCAAGTCTCATATCAACAACCCAGGCACGGTGGCGGGGTTGCGTTTGCGCACAAAAAAATGATTCGCGCTCTCGAGGCCAAGATTGCTCCAAAACGGCCCAGGATGGCTCCAAAACGGCCCAAGATGGCTCCAACACGGCCCAAGAACGTTCGAAGACGGCCCAAAATGGCCTCAAGATGGCCGACAAGGCTTTCACTATCGCCCACGAAGTCTCCAAGAAGACCCCCAGGACATCTGAAAGAGGCGCACATTACGCATTTCATTACATTTCCATTGCGTTGTTGAACATGTTTGCAATTGTTGCCTTTCCCGGCTTCCGTCGGCTCACGTAGCCCAAAGAGCCTCCAAGATCGCCCCACGGCGCCCCAAGAGGGCCTCAAGACGGCCCCAGAGAATCCCAACACGGCCCAGGACGCCTCCCAATTCGGCCTAAGACGACCCCAAGACGGCAAAACCTGTCTCCAAATTGGTCCCAAGCTGGTGCAAGACGGCCCTAACCCAAAACCCATAACCCAGAGCCTTGTTTCTGTGTCCCCTTCCTCCTTCTCCTCCTCCTCCTCCTCCACCTCGGCCGCCAGGTGGGTTCAAAACTGCTTTCCAAAGGTCCCCGAGAGGCGTGCCGCGAGATCCCTATACACATACAACAAGTTTCTAACCAATAGCACATATCCCAGAGTTTCGTCTCTGTGTCCCCGTCCTCCCCCTCTTCTCCTCCTCCTCCACCTCCTCCTCGCCCACTCCTCCTCTTCCTCCCCCGCCTCCTCCTCTTCCTCCCCGATTCTTCTCCCCCCATCCTCCGCCTCACCCCCCATCCCTCTCTCCCCCTCCCCCCTGTCCTCCCCCGCACGCGCGCCCCCGATTGGGCATCATTTGCAGGTCTTGCATATCAGGGTGCCCTTTTTTGCATCGCGTGCGACGTTGGCAGGGTTCCCGGAGAACGCCGACGTCGGTAGTCTTCTCTTGCACGCGCCGCCGCACTGATACGCCTGGCAACTGCGGGCTGTGAACCCGAGGTTCCGGCAAGACCGCCAAGATGAGGGGTCGGCGGATGTGGCGTAAGCCTATAGAATCTTGGTGGCGCGCCAGCGCTCCTCGGCCGACGCCGCCTCCAGATCGCAATTCGCCATCATGAGGGGGAACGCCTCAGGGTACTTCGGGTGAGAGCAGAGGTGCGACGGGGTCGCCTGCTCCTCGCGTGGAACTCGTCGGGCCGTCTCGATCTGCAAGACGAGGGGCGCGTAGTCACTGGGGCGCAGTTCCGACAGCTCCATCGCGTCGCAGGCGGTCGTGGGCCGCGCGGAGACGGAGAGCATCGCGTGCGCGTCGTCTCCCAGGAAGATGCGGTCGATGACGGGAAACTGCTGGCTGGCCTCGTCGAAGTGGGCGGGCCATTGTGCCTCGATCTCGAGGGCCGCGGCGAAGAGACGGCGCCGCGCAGGCTGTCGCAGTTGGTAGCGTTGCTCAGGGCGCAGCCGCCGCGTCTCCTCTGCCACAGGAGATCGCTGCGGAACTGCAGTCCGCGATGTTGAAGTCACCCGCCCCAGTGAAGATGCGCCTCGAGTGGTCGTCCGCAGTCCAAGTGATGGCGTCGTTCCAGGCCGCCGCCACCGCGGCGAAGTCGCCATCAGACAGGTCGAAATTATGCACGCCCATTATATTGATGCTGTACTGCGACGAGGGATCGCCGACGCTGAGTAGGGCAACCCTGCCAGGGATCACGATGTCGAAGGAGAAGGCGGGGCCGCCCCAGTCGATGAGGCCGCGGCCAGCTGCGGGGCCAGGAAAGCAACGCCGCCAGCACCAGGGGACGAGCCAGGCGCCAGGAACGATAGGTAGCGCCGCGGCTGAAGATGGCAGAAGACCTTCAACGCATGCTCGGATCCGTGGACTTCCTGGACAGGGATCATGGCACCCGCCCGCATATGCGAGCTCAAGAGTGCGAGCTTGCGGCGCCGAAACCGCGGGTTCGAATGAAGCGAGCCTCTGGCGTTCCACGCCACCATGTGCAGCCCTCGTGAACGACAGTCGGAAGTCGGTGGGCGCCGCGGCGCCCGCCGCGGAGTGCTAAAGCCACTCCGTGCGGTCCTCCAAAGAGAAGGTCTTCTTGAACTGCTCGGCGATCGCGCCCCTGTCGATGGCCAGCCGGAAGGAGCGCCAATCATTGGGAGCCGCAAGGTTCCGCAGATGTCGAGCCAGTGCTTGTGCGCGCGGGATGGCGATGTCCAGCCCGCCCTCCACGACAATGTTGAAGCGCTTGCCGGGGACGGAGGAGTCGAGGCGGACCATGCTACCGTCGAGGCCCGCAGCTGTGAGCCAGTCGTGGATGCCTGCTCGGACTTGCGCAGGGCCAACCAGTTCAGGTGCGCCCACGGCGAAAATCCTCTCGTCTGGGGGTCTGGCCCAAGCCCCCAGCGCCTGGAAGTCGATGATCGGGATCTCTTTCTCGGCCATGGCGAGCGCTTTCTCGATGTCGTCGATCTGGGCCCGCATCCACCGTTGCTCATCAGCCAGGGCATCCGCACGCTCTCCAACTTTGGCGACATCACGGGCATGGGCGGCCAGCGACTTGGCGACGTGCTCCTGTTGAGCCTGGAACATGCCCACGAGCTGCTGCTGGCAGGAGGCAAGTTGAACTCGCGAGGTCTCCGCCAGCGCCACGGTGGTCTGCTGCATGCAACTGTCCAGCAGCGCCTGGAGGTCGCCCGAGATCCCCGTGGGTTGGGACATCCACCGACAGGTGTGCCAGGGGCCGAAGTGCGCGTAGGCCAAGGTCCACCACCAGGAACTTGCCAAGGGTCAGGTTCTTCAGCGGGCCGCTGCGCGGCAGGGAGCTGTCGATCAGGATCTGCAGGGGCGGTCGCAGCTGGAGGCTCCAGCGCGGGACGAGGCTCTCGCCTGCCATCGCGACGGGAGCCGGTGACCGCCAGCACGACGTCCTTTCTGGCCGCTCTCCGTCTCGAGCGGGCGCTCCGTTCCTCCGTACTTCTCGAGTGAGATCTTCCAGAAGCGGCGGGAGAGGCAGGCTCACGGCGCTGTCGCCCAGGAAGGTAGCAGCACCAGGTCAGCGGTGACCGCCGCCAACGCGCCCGGAACCACGACCAGCGCTGTTCTCAGCTGCCATGCGAACAAGCTGTTGCCCTGCGGGCAGGAGTCGACCGCTCGGTGGGAGCGGCCGCGCACAGAGGATATGGAGGGGTGCCAGCTCACCCGTGGTTGTCGCTGGAAAGCTTGGACTGGCCGCGGACTAGCGGCATCCATGCCCTGCTCACGCGAAGCAGACATCTTGAGCCAAAATGGCTACGGAGGACGAGGAGGAGGAGGAGGAAGCAGAAGAAGAGGGCACGAAACGCCGGTCTCACGAGAAAGGAAGCCTCTTGGGGCGTGTTGGGAACCGTTCGGGAGCCTCTCGGGGCCTCTTCTGGAGCTCTTGGGGGCGTCTTGGGGCTTGTTGGGGACCTGCTGGCGGCCTGGGGGGCCGTCTTGGGTCTCTCCTGGGCCGTCTTAGGCGCGTCTTGGGCTGTTCTGGTGCTCTCTTGGGCTGTCTTGGCGGCCTCCTGGGGACCTCTCGGGGGCGTCTTGGGGCGTCTGGGGCGGCTTGGGGAGCCTCTTGGGCTGCGGCGCAGCGCGCCCAAGCCGTCTACCAGTGTATTGTAAAATTGTAAGTTTTCCATGGGATTTTGGCGATGTTCGCCTTCGGGGGCTCTCTTGCGAAGTCTCTTGGGCCTCTCTGGGTGCGCTCTGGGAGCCTCTGAGGCTGTCTTTGCGCCATCTTGGGCGTGTTGCACCCCTCTTGGGCTATTT